ATAGATCTATTCATATTTTCTAATGTATGAATTAGTCAGTTTCAATAGTTTGTATCTCTGAATTTGTCCATTTTACCAACATTATCTAATTTTTAAGCAGCCAGTTGTTCACAGTATTCCCTTATTTTTTTACTCCTTATTTTTGTAATACTCATGGCACTGTCCCTGTTTCACTTCTGATTTTAGTGACTTGACTTGACTTCTTTTATTTTCCTTGGCTAATTTAAGTAAAAATAGGTTATTATCTTTGATTTTTTTTCAGAGCCAACTTTTAGATTCATTGACTTTTTTCCAATTTTATATTTCATTTATTTAAATGTTAATCTTTATTATTTCCTTCCTACTATTTGCTTTGCTTTTAAAACTTTTCTGTAGTTTCTAATTTCTTAAGGTAGAATGTTAGTTTATTTATTTGAGAACTTTCTTGAGCATAAGTGTCTGCAGTCATCAATTTCCCTCCAAGCACTTCTTTTGCTACATTTAATAAGTTTTGTTATATTGTGTTTTTATTCTAATTCATTTCAAAGTATTTTCTAATTTTTTGATTTCTTTTTTTTTTACCTATAGGTTATTTAAAAGTATAAAGTTTAAATTCCGTATATTTGTGAATTTTCCAATTTTCTTTCTACTGTTAATTTAGAATGTAATTCCAATTAGTAGAAAAATGTACTTTTAAAAATGATCTCAGTTGTCTTAAGTGTTTTGTGGCTTGCTTTATGACCTGTCATATGATCTAGCCTGGAGAAGATTCCACGCACACTTGGGATGAATATGCATTCTGCTGTTTTTGATGGAGTGTTCTATAGATACGTTAAGTCTAATTGGTTGATAGTTTTGTTGAAATCTTCTATTTCCTCGTTAACCTTCCTCATTTTTCTATCTATTACTGAAAAAGAATATTGAAGTTTTCAATTATTATTTTAAATTGTTTATTTCTCCCCCAATTCAGTTAGTTTTTGCTTCATGTATTGTGGGTTTCAGTGGCTAAGTGCATATAAGTTTATAATTTTTATATCTTCTTGATGGATTGACTTAGCATTAAGAACTATTCCTCTTTATGGATCATAACACTTTTTCTTTAAGTTTCTTTTGTCTAATATTACTATATCTACTCTAGATTTATTTTGGTTACTTTTCAGATGGCATATCTCTTTCCATTATTTACCTTTAACCTATTTGTGTCTTTGAATATGAGAGGTATCTTTTGTACATAGCATAAAGTTGTATGATTTTTCTTTTTTTTAACTTGTTTAATCTATTCTGCCAATCTCTGGAGTGTTTCATTCATTTACAATTAATGTAATTATTGAAGAGATATAATTTACATCTGTCATTTTACTATTTGTTTCTACATATATTATGTGCACTTTTTCCTCTATTCCTTCACTACTATTTTATTTTGTGTTAAACAGATATTTGCTAGTGTAAAACTTTTAATTAGCTTATTGTTCTTTCCACTACATTTTTTTCTGAATTATTTTCTTAGTGGTTGCCCTGAGAATTACAATTAACAACTTAAACAATCCATTTGTATTAATGCCAACTTAATTTCAAAAATGTATAAAAACTTTGCTCCATTCTAGCTTCATTTCCTTTGAATTACATCTTTATATATTATAAGCTGAATCTTCAGTTTTATAATTATTGCTTAATACTGTTATCTCTCAAGCCAAATAGAAGAAAAGAATTACAAACAAAAAATACACTTATACTATCGTTTATATTTATCTACATGGCTACCACCACTAGTACTATTTATTTCTCTGTATGGATTTGAGTTACTGCCTGTTGATTCTGTTTCTGCTACTACCATTTGTGGTCTATTTCCTTACACTAGATTGACTTGTCATCATCTAATATTAATTATTTTAAGTTATTTTGGAAGAATGTTGAAGAACAAAGGGAAAGTAGGAGAGACTGTGAAAGAAATTGGAACCAGAATGTCCTTTAAAGTTACAGTCCTTGGAAAGCTGAAATTTACTTCCAGATTCATGTATCAATTACAGTTCACCCCCATTTTCTCACACAGTACCATACATATAGTAGGTGCTTGATAAATATTTGTAGACTTAATCAACATAAAGTTGCATGATTATTAAGATGGAATCAAATTATCTGAGGGCTAGAACTAGAAAGAATGGTGATAGATACACATTCTCTAAGATTAGGCAGATCTTCAAAAGAGTTTTAGAGAAGAGTCTAGGATATCCAGTCTGAGTGAGTTCTCTGAGTCACATTGTCAGAGAAAGAGAATTTAAGTCATTGATTATAGCAAAGCATTGGATAATTAATTTAAATGAGGCTTAAATTTCTCCAGAAAGTCAGATAAGGATACACACTTTATTCACTAATAACCTTACACTCACAAATTCCACACACCTCTATAGTTTTAAACAAATAGGACAGGCCCTCCATTTGTCGGCTCACTTAATATAGTCTGTAGCACACATAATGCTTTGGAACTCTGTTTATGGGCATTAACAGTTGGAAACTGAGAGTTGCTCAAGCAGAATTCTACACAATCATCCATGTGGGGTTAATTTACTTTACTGTGGCTGCTAAAGTGAGCTCAGCTGAACTTGGCATTTTCTATTCCAATCTGTTTGTAAATGTTTTTAGTTTCACAGCCCAAGCACTTTACTGCAAATCTTCTCGATCATGTGGCTTGTACTAACCAGGACAATTCATCAAAAGAAAGTGTATTATTTTTAAACCTGCAATAGAATTTTGAATTCACTGTAGAGTTTGGGAAATGGAAAACCATAAGCCGAAATCATGGAGAAGTAAACTGGTTAGGGTTTGGTAATTATCTAATTATTTAACAAATATATTTTGAATACTTTCTTTTGCAAAGTACCACTTTAAGCGTTGGGGATATAAGGATGAACAAGACAGATTTATGTACCCCCCCCAGAAGCTTTAAAGTTATGTCAATCTGTAAAATAAATGAATAAGCAAATACAAATACCTATCATATAATGCATACTAACTAGTAAGAATACAGAAGTAGGGAATGCTCTTTATACTGAGCATTCCTAGTCAAAATTTTCAAACTATATCTAAAATGTCTTTATCATACATGATCATTAATTGCTTTTTCCTTAAAGTTTTCAAATTCTAATTTTTCTATGATTTTTATAGAAAAGCATAATAATATTATTTAAAAGTACCATGAGAGAAATCTATTTAAGAAAGTAGTAACAAACACCAATCCATCACATGTTTGTCATTTTAGAAATATAAGCAGGATTAGTTGAAAGGCTAGAGTTCATTGAGTAACAGCACATAATATTAAGGTATTTTATTTAATGTATGATTTCTATGCTCTAGGCACTTGAATTAATTCATCTAATAAGTATAACAAACTTGTGAGATAGATGCTATATGATGCTACTTTAAAGATGATGAGAGACACAGAAATTTAAGTAATTGATAAAATTAATGTATTTATTAAGTTGCAGAGCTGTCTGGACCTTGACTCTGTGTTTTGGACTTTGCTGTACTATATAATTCATGATTATTTACTCCACAGCTTGCACGAAGATCCCCATTGCCCTTAGACTTGCAGTGCCTTCCTGTGAGAGTGGGATAGTTCCCTTCTTCACGGTCAAGCTTAACCACATGACTTATTTTGGCCAATGAGAAGTGAAGAGACAACATGCCAGTTCAAAGCAGAAATTCAAAGAGATACTACATATTTATCCCAGTGTTCTTGCCCTTTCCCTCTGTCCCAGAACAGCATGTCCCAGCCAGTGCTGTTCCTTCAGACTGAATTCTGGAACGAGAGGACAGGAAAAGCCGCAGCCTATCCTCACCATTCACATGGAACATGAGAGGGAAAAACTGTTGCTGCAAGCCACATATTTTGGGGTGGTCTTTTCACAGCAGAATGAGCTGGCTAGCAAAAAACTGACTAGTATGATAACAGCTACCAAGAAGGGAGATGCAAAAGTAACAAACACACTAAAATCTGTGGCATTGGCTTCATGGCCAAGTGGATGGTATAGAGAAAATTATTACTAAAATCTGGAAACTCACCATGTATGTGTACGTATTTGTTGTTTTAGTGAAAAAGATTGGGGAACAAAATGCTAACAACTGATGGTACTGGCTACTTTTATAAAGCTATCAAAGAAATAATTTCTTTGGAAAAAAGAGGAAAATGAAAAGTTTGGAATTATAAGACATGCAGGGTTGAAAAATGCAACATGCGCTGTATGAACCACTACATGTGTTTGTTGGTAAATTCCTTCAAATCACCAAGGTTCAGCTTAAATATTACCTTCTCTGAATTAGATCTCCCTCCATTAAGCCTTCTGATCCCCCAGCTTATATTTTTTAAGGTGATTTTCACTCTTCATCTGACTGCTTCCATCCTCAGACTATAAGGTTATCAATGACATAGAATAGAGCTTTTATCTTTTTATCAGACATGCATGCAAAAGAAATATGATAAATATTTGATGAACAACTAAGTAAAGCAATAAATTCATTGACAGAGCAAAGTTAACTAATTTCAGTGCTCCCAAGTCAGCACAAAGTTTCTAAAATTCTAAATTCTGCCTGATTTTTCTACTATTCAAAAAAGGAAAGTAAGATCTTTGAAGTTAGAGATTAAACCCATATAATAAAAATGTATTACATAAATCTCATAAAAAATAGAACATTCTTTACTTATAGTCTCAGAAGTCTTTAAATGAATTTTTATTTGTTATTTCTCATAAAAATTAAAATAAATTTCTAATATTAGTCTTAGACAAAAATCAAGTCAATTAATCACAGAGGCTTAGGATTTAAAGTCATTAAGGCAATTCATAAAATACATTCCCTAAAAACTGTCCTAAAAAAATGCATAGACACAGTTTCATTGGTAGGCCTCATTATTTTAGAACAACACACATACTCTTTTGTTGCATAATATGCTGGTTCAATCCACTCTTAAATTTTGTGTTTAAGCACATCCTAAAGCCAACACAAGGAAATTACTTGAATTTACATACCTGTCGGCACCAAAGTTTACGAAATATCTGCAGGTAGGCCAACACCATAAGACACAGTGGTGCCATGTATGTCACCAGAAAGAAACAGATATGATACATCTTGGGATAAATTTCACCTGGAGATGAAAGCCAAAATAATAAAATCTTATATTTATAGATGTTTTAAAATACACCTATCAATGGTTTACCTACAAAATACATATTTACCTTCTATATGATTTCACTGGCACAATACATATCCAAAAGGGAAAAATAATTTACAGCCTTACGGTATTAGCTACTCACATATACTCAGTATGTATATACATAAGTATATATATAATACACACACACACACATGTATATATACATATATGTATTTAGTAAGTACTAAAGTATATAGATAGATAACTTACTAAATAAGAAGTCTTAATTTCATTTAATGTACACAGAGAGAAATAACAATTAGCTATTTCTAAATTTGTGTTACCATAGTCTATACAAAGTCAACTATTCATCAAAAGCCTTCTTTCTGTCTTGATTACATCTGGCTAATTAATACAAATTAATTTGGATTGTCCTATACTTGTATATACAAAAAGGGACATGACTCAATCAAAACCCAATTATTAAGTTTTTGTTAAAACGGGAAGAGAATGGAAACTCGGTTGATTCCTTCTCATTAGATATGTTTCCTGAGAGATGGGAAGCCACTCCCAGATGCACCTCCAGATAAAAATGTAGAAGAACTTTGGAAGAATAAATGCAGCAAACATTTTTTAGTGACTCTTTTGTTCACTTATGAGAAGATATACGGAATTCTTTGAGTATGTGTTGTGTATGCCTGTATATATGTATATATGCATGTACTTTTAATAAAAAAGAAATTTTTAGTGCTTTTTAAAGTTAGTTTTCAAATCAATATAGATATATTCTTTATATATATATCTCCATCTCCTTTATCAGGCATAACCACCTCTAGGATTATGATTTCTTATTAATTCCATGTACAAAAGTATTATGTATCACAGAGTTGGCATTTATTAAAGAGCTAATCAATTTATGAATGGCATTGTGATTTAATAGCTTTTCTAAAATATATCCTTTATTGACCTTGTAAATAAATGCTTTCAAGGATATTTTCTTTATACAAGTATTTAAATATATCACAGTGATCTGATTATTTTTACTTAAATGTAAAACAGGAACAGAATATATCCTACATGGATTCCATAGATATTAAATGTAATAATTATATATAATTCTAACAGAATGCTAATGAACTAAAGGTTCTTTTTCACTTCTAAAAATTATGTAACTTATTTTGACTTCACTGTTGGCAATTTGGTTGGTTCCAAACTATTATTGAGGGATAATGCTATCATCTCCATGTATTTTATTCTTTTCATTTCCTCAGTGAGGACATACAGACACATGACAACTCAAGTTATGTGGCCAAATGTGTAAGGACAATTTAAAGTCAGGACTAACCAATAATAAGTATGATAATGACCATAATGATTACCAACATTTATTGAACAACCGTTCATTTAATTTTTATTGAATCCATTTTCAACGTATCTATGGGTTAAATATCCTCCACAATCTTGATTCCACAGCCTTGTCCTTCGTGCAGGCTGAGTTTAATATTCTCCTTAGTCTCCCTTCTCAAACTGTCTTCTTTCTCGGATAAATGCTTTTCTCCACTGTCATCTTCAGAGGGGACAACAGGGTGCATGTGCTACTAGGGGTCTAAGAGACCAATTTGGGGCATCATGTTTAGCTTCTCTGTGGCTCACACCTAGCTCATCATCTTCTAACTTTCTTTCAAGTTTGTCCTGTAAAACAGGCCAGTTACATAAAAAGTGACAGAATCCAAGCAGCCTGTCTGGAGGAATAACAAACAGCCTTTCCCTTTGAAGTGCTACAGCCTGAGCATTTGCCATGCCAGTTTCAAAGGAAGTGGAGAGTGACCTCAGCATTTCCAGGCACCTGAGTGGCTTTGAACCTTTATTTGTTTTGAAGAAGGTGTCACACAAGCTTCCCACATAAAAACCTACCTTTGAAGCTTTCATACCTGTGAAGCCCTGATGTCTGCATCAGACTAAATTGAGTGAGTGGAGAAAGACAGATTTGATAGGTAATATATATTTTGTTAACTACAGCTGTGGATCACTGTGATAACAGCTTGGAGTTTTAAACACATGGGAGAGAAAGCTCACTCTGTGGTTGGTATATTTATTAAATACTCGGAAAAATATGTCATTGGCTGGTGAATGCATATTAGGATAATGAACACCCACACAGAGAAAAGTTGATCAAGCAAAATTATACTTGCAGGCCAGGACAGATTGTTTTAATAAAGAGATTATTATAGATAATTGGGGGAACCTGATAGTCTTCAATTCCTCATTTCATGCTTACAGTCTAAGCTAATTGACAATGCCATTAAAATTTTGAATTGTATGTGTCAAAACTCTTTGAAGTCTCTCTGCACCTGATGAGCAATGTCTTCAATGTATTTTAACATTTATATATAACCTAGAATATAGCTCATGAAACTTAACATTACCACTTAAACATTACCTAAATTAGAATATAGCATTATAAGACTGACAATCATTACAAGTCAGTGTCTCTGTTCAACCGATGAATAGACATTATCTGAGTAAATTCTTGTGTATGTATAAAACCAACAAATAAGGAGCAAATATGGATCTTTATTTAGTCTTTAAATCAGAATTAGAGAATAATATCATATATTAGATAGACAGAACTTAATTTCCCTCATATGAGTTATGGTGCATTATTGAGCCAACATATTAATCTAATTATCTAAACCCTATAAACATTCTCTCCATGCTACACCTATGAGGGATTCAATGGACAAGCAAATTAAATATAATTTCCCAAATATTCAATTTGGGCTGCCTTTTCAAAGTTTGCGGGTGCATTAAAATTTACCTGAGTCTTAAATATGTATCTTCTTCCTAAAACTGTTTCAGTAAATTTTCCTCTTAACACATACACATACTTATCACATACTTAAATACTTTCAAAAATCTGATAGTAGTCCAGATACCATAATTAGTTTGACTGCAAAGGAAGGCTCCATAATTATTTTTTTCAGGCCACCCAAGAATAATTTGGCAGTAAGATTCAAGAAGAGAGAAGGTGAATCCACAGTGTCCAGAAAAATGTTTGACAAACAGAACATGCTCATTCAATGTTGGATGAATGATTAGTGAGACAATCATACCTTTCATTGAGCACAAAAGGAAAGTTACTTTCCTTCCAATAGGTTCTACCCGGTGAAACTATGCATTTGCAAGCCAAGCAATCAAGAGAGTATGGATATAATTTTGGAAGCTTTTAAAATTTTAGAAGTGTGCTTGATGTGACTGGAGCAAACAATGAACATATGCAAAAACATACTTTAAAGATCATTAAAATAAATATTGACATATTTATTTTTTGAGTATCAAGTGTGTCTGCCAGAAGGTATGGTTTGTGGTCTTTTTTTATCTTTTTTTTTAACAAGCCATAGGCAGTGCTGAATATAATCAGTTACAGAAATAATGTATCTGCCAATATTCCACATGTCTGTTAATATTTTCCATAAGAGTTCTCAGTTATTTTGCACCATGAGTGAGACAGCATTCGCAAGACTTCCAAAAGGGACAGATTTGGATCAAATGGCCACGTTGTTTACTGCCTCTTTGAACACTAATATTGGTTGTAGGACAATTATTATGTCACTCTCTGCTTTTATGACTACATTATTGATTTAACTTAGTAAAAAGATAAGAAACATAGTTTGTGAATTAATCTCAAATAGATGTTTCACAATAACTTTTGTTAAATTGGGCTAAATGGTATTTAGACTTAGAAGACGTTTGAACTTCACAGAGCTGTAAAATATCATTTCCTGTGGTGTTTTTAGGTTGTGACTATCACATATGTGTCTGAGTTTTAACATTTTTAAGTTTTAACATTTTTAAGTTGAACATAGACTTATAAATAGCTTATATTAACAAAGCTCATGCTATGTAAAAATCCTTAAACTAAATGTCTAATGAATAAAACGATAAGAAACTGCTTTGAATTCTTTTATATTCTTCTTGAAAACATTAAGTGATTAACAATTCATTTAATATTCAAAAAGCTAATTTCATAGATTTTATTGTTTCATTTTTGTGGATTATCATTTCAATATCACTTAGTTTTAACCTTTCTAATCATTTTAAGTAACTATGTGCTAATAAAAAAATTACTTTCAAATAGTTTCCCTAAATGACTTCTGAAGGTTAAGTTTAGATTTCTTGTTATTCAACAATAATTGCATTTTTTTAAGGAAAATGTCCCTGCTAGGGCTAGATAATAAAATGCTAGAGATTGAAATGAGTTTTATATATTTATATTCATTGCTCAAAATAATTAGGAAATGCTGTGGCTTTACTTAACCATAATAACTGACAGGATCCCCCAGCTTTGCAATCTTATTGCTAATTGGGGTTAATGTTACTTGATTATTCAGTGCAACATCTATAAAAAAGAAAAGTTTACAAAAGCAGTCCACAAGCTTATAAATGAAACTAATTACCAAAATACAAAACACAAAAATAATTGTTTCACTCTTCATTTATCTAACATTTAATGAACATGTCCTGTTTGTCAGACATTGTTCTGGACACTGGGTATTCATAATCTCTTTGGATCAAATGGTCATGTTGTTTATTGACTCTCTGAACACTAATATTGAAACACTTATGATGCAATTGTTCTTTGGTTGTCTAAAAAAATTTTTAATGGAGCCTTTCTTTACAGTCAGGCTAATTATGGTATTGGCCTATTATAAGATTTTTGAAAGTATATAAATATGTGTGTCTGTGTATTAATAGGCAACCTTATTGTTCCTATTAATTTAAGGTAAATAGTTGGGAAACACCACAGATACATGTTGAATGATAGGTGGGTATTTTAATCTAATAACCATCTCCATAAATTTGAAAGATCCCAAATTTTAGTTGAAAGCTTAGATTTAAATGCACTTCTTTGCTTCATTATCTTGAGCACATAATTTAACTTATGCCCCAGTTTCATCAGGAATTAATGAATTAACTAAAGCATTCTGATTAAGAGAGCTTAGGCTATTTCTATATAACTTATTGTATAGGAATTGCATAAAAGTCACAACAAAATCAGTCCTCAACCCACCTTCTTTCCAAACACAGTTCTTCAGACTGCAAATCCCTACATTTCAGAAACTACAAGCTTGGATCATCTTCCTCTCTTTTTCAAGGGACTGTGTCCATTGTGTTGGTTTTCTTGTTTTCTGGGGTACATTTTTCCCTCCTCCCTACCTGGAAAATTCCTGCTTATCTTGAATGCGTTGCTGAACTGTTAGCAACTCTTCTGAAAGCTGTTGTTCGAATGGCCAAATTTATTCTCTTATTTGTATTCCTAGCACTTTGTATATAAGTATTTAAAAATACTAATCAGACTGCAATGTTTGTTTATTTGCCTTTCAGTCTCCCTATACAGAATGTGTTCCCTTAAGCAGAGTCTAATTCTCTCCAGGTTGGCACAATTCCTGGCCAATATCCTAAGTACTTAAGATGTTGTTGAACATTAAATAAATGGGCCTTAAGATGCTTAAGAAATATTGCTACCATTTTGGAACTTTCCATTCTTTTTGTTTTTGTCTGCACTGTTAATTGGGAAAATTGGGAAAAACTGAAAATGATCCATAGAAAATACAGCAAAAGAATAGCATTGTTAGAAAGGAAGGGTAAATTTCAATTCAAGAAAGGGGTACTCAATATTTGGGGTAATGCATTAAATTTATTTATAGACAAATAAAGCAAATTGTGACATTTTAGTTATTATAGCTCTGGCTGGAATATGAAACAATCCCAGTGTCCTTTAAGTGTTACTGTAGTGAAAATATACGTCTACTTTGTCAGTTGCTGACTTCTTTAATTTTTGTGTTCCAATAAAGGTACCAAGGTAGAAATTAACACAAATTCAAAGATTAGTGAATTAATAAATTTGTTAATTAACAAAGTAACAAAATTCCAATACTTAAAAATACCAGATCCATAAGCAATTGGTGGAGTGCATAGCTCTTGTTGCGATGTCTTTCCAATAAGTATAAATGCACATCTTTCTAATAAATGATGCTTTCTTAATGTGTAAATTCCTACATATGAGCAATTGTTACATACTTACCAAAAGAGGATAGATTGTTTTTGTCATATTTCATGTGATAATTTTACAATTAGTTCAAGCTATGCTGAAACGCAGGATTATTTTATTTCCTGTCATTTTTTGCTGTGTCCAGAATTTGTGCCATCAGCAGGCACTGACAGAAATGTTTCTTTCCACTTTTACAGAAACAACTCAAACTGTTGCTGAGAGTTTTAACCCAAAGGAGATGAGGCCTCCAAACTTCTGCTTGTTTAAATATAACTACCATACATATCAGATAGGAAACCAAAAAGGATTCATAATTAATATAATTCTTAAAGCAGAAAATAATTATGCCAGTAATACAATTTATTAATTTAGTATGTTTCGAATAGGGAAAGAAAATTTGGATAATTTGAACCCAAACAAAGAACAATACGGGTCCACATAATTTACTCCAGTCATGCTCCCAGGTAGAATATGGTTTTAAAATGAAAAATCCATGTATTTGAAGACCATTAAAGACCTGACACTGGAGGCAATGCAATGTCCCATCATAAAATGCTAATCATTCCAGAATACACATTTGGGTTCTTATAAAGGAATCCTTTTGGTTTTAGAGAATTTAAGATAAACTAACATACCCAAATCTTAACTGTGGTAAAGCTCTTCCTTTCTCTGCCTGGAAAATAGGAAAACTAGGTAACCGCAGCGCATTTTCAAAGGACCAAGACAGGTGGAGCTACTCCGTGAAACAGTTAAGGTTTCAGCTTGGTTGTCCTGCCTTTGAAAAACTCTATTAACAAATGCCAATAAAAGATTCAAGGCCAGCTTTATAATGGCTATGCAAATCCAATTTTCAGTTTGCAGCTGTAATATAAATGTCAGCTTGTGGGCCATAACGTACTCACCGCCCCAGCGCTCATCACACACTGTAAAGAGAGTGGTTTTATTGGCTAAGCCAGGGAGCATGGTGCTGCACTCCATAACGATGGCCTGCGGGATCATTATGATGCAGGAGACGATCCAGATGATGACAATGCTGTTCCTGGCCCGCTTGGCTGTGCTCTTGAACATCAAAGGGTGACAGATCGCGTACCATCGATCCAAAGCAATGCAGCTCAGGGTGAGGACAGACACAGATACTGACACGGTCTGGAGACAGAAAGAACACAGTACAAGAAAAGCAGTCAGTGTTGAATGATCACTCAGTATTTACTGTTTCAGAAAGGTGGTCACACAGGTAATCAGATATAAAGTTGCCAAAAAACATTTCATGCAAGTGCTTTCTATTAAAAGCAAAAAATCTGCTAAAAAACAATATTAGAAACATATTAGGAAAAAACCTGCATTTCCTATTCAACATGAAAAAGCTGCTATAAAAACATTGCAAATTTGTTTATGGCAAATGTTTTAATTTATAATATGGTGCTCTTTGAATAATTATTATTTTCTCTTGAAACTTTTCTATTCATAGGAGAAATCATATCCTCAAATAGAAAAAAAGTAAAACACATGTTTAGTCTCAACTGGAAAACTTTCACTTATAGGGAATAATATCACATGTCTTCCTTTTAAATTACCGTATAGGAATTTGGTTGCAATTGTATTTAACTAGCATTTTGAATTACGGGTATCTTATCTCATATTTTCAAATAACGAAGGCTATTTGTACAGCCATGCATTTCCAACATGTTGAACCCTAAGAAAGGCATGAGTTAAAAGATACAGATCTCCTTCCCATAGTTCGTTTATTGCTGGTATAAGCACCTTGCCTCTAAAATTCAAATAGGTTCACCCAGTCCTATATAATAAACAATACCACAAATGACATTTTATCTTGGAACTTTAAGGAAATAAAGGAGTGTGTTAAGCATGCCTATACCCACATGATCAGTTTATGCAAATATATTTAATGTATTCTCCCATATTATGGATGAACCGTTGATTCTGCTTTCACTCTCAAACCCAGTCTTTAAAAAGAAGCCTCATTCTCTTTTCGGCAGCCTTCTCATTACAGATTTCTATTTTCTTCTCAGTACTTACCACCTAGTACAATTACGTTATTTATTGCCTCTTTTCTATTGGAACAAACCTTGGGCAGGAGGGACTGCTGTTCACAACTGCATACTCAGTACCCAGGCACAGTGCTTGATGTGCTTAATAAATACTTTTCTTGAATGAATGAATAGTTGTAAACCTCAACCTAAGGTAAGAGATGTGTCCAGTCATCTTTCTCTCTCTCTCTCTGTCTTTTTTTTTTCTTTTGTCCTAGTCATATCGATCCACAGTGTATGGAAGGACAGGTGTCTGCTTCATCCATCAGGACTTTCCTTGATGACGCGCTGGCTGAGAGTACGTATCAGTGAAAGGAATCTAAGAGCCAGCACAGCGCAGGATAAAGGGCTCTGGGCTGTGCAAGGGAATGACCCATTCATCCCTACTCTCCCATCGGTTAGCTGTACAATGCTGGGTCACCAACTTTACAGCTTTAGGCCTAATGTGTGTGTGTGTGTGTTTCTATTAAATGAGTGAAATTGACAGATTAAAATTCTTGCCACTCTGCTTTGGATTGTCTCTGGGAAAGGCAGCTGAGTATAGCTGGACCAATTCAGCAACCAGGTTTCCTGGGCATGAATTCTATCTCACTTGATAAATACTACGTTTTTAGAAAATCATCCCGTGCCAGAGGGTGATCACTTTGTCACGTGATTTATATTTTATCAAAGTAAAATATCACAACCACCATAGGAGAGAGCTATAATTAAAATTACTATGCTTTTCTAGTAAGTGAATCACGAAGAGCTTATATATTTGTCTCAACAGCATATAACCAGTGAATGGCAGAGCAGAAATTTCAAACCTGGTAGTTTGATTCAGAACCTATACTCAAATCTGTACACTTTGCTGCTTTGATCATATAGTTTTTAATTTCTCAGTATGAAAAGAAGCCCACCTCTAAAAACAGATGGCCCTTGATTACTTGGACACAGAGAGGCCCAAACATAAATTTGTTCAAGTCCCTTATTTTACAATGGGAAAAATAGAGATCAAAGATGGAAGCTTGTGCAGCAGCCAATGATGACTTGAGGATTCTGCTGCTTTATTTTTCCTTAGAGCTTAATTTTACCCAGAAAGTCTCAAGTATTACTCTCCTTAAGTTTTCCAGTCCCTTAGGCTGGTACATGCCTCTCTTAGCTCCATAATTTACCAGAGGGCCATGTCCTTAGTTGAAAGTACTTTTTCAGTAGTTTCTGTGTTTGAGCCAAAAAAGTAGGCAAAACTTTTTTTACCTGTAAGTAAGGAATCACTTTACAGAGGGACTGTCCAAAGAACCAGGTCTCAGTGATGTCCACGACTAACGTGGCTGGAAGGCAGGTGATGGTCACCAGCACGTCGGCCAGGGAAAGGTTGACTATGAAGTAGTTGGTTACTGTCCGCATGTGATGGTTCTTCCACACTGCCACACAAACTAATTTGGGAAGAAAAGGGAATAGTCACTGTTGTGGACTGAATGTGTGTGCCTCCCCCCAAGGTGATGGTGTCAGGAGATGAGCCATTAGGAGGCGCTCAGGGCGGAGTTCCTATGAGTGGCATTAGCATCCTTGCACGAAGGACTCCAGGGAAATCCCTCACTGCTGGCACCACACGAGGACACAGTGAAACAACGGTTGCCTATGAACCAGGAAGTGGGATCTCACCAGGTACGAAATCCGCCAGGGTCTTGATCTTGTGCTCTTAGTCTCCAGAACTGTGAGAAACTAATTTCTGTTGTTTATAAGACACCCAGTTTAGTTATTCTGTTATAGCAGTCCGGACAGACTAAGACAGTAAGAAAGCAGGTACTGATGAGGAAACACTGCAAGCTCATTAATACTCTTGTAAAGGCCACAAGTAAATACTACCAACAGAGGATAATTTAAGGCTGTGCTATTTTCACTGATTCAGCCAGTCTGTGTGAATGCTGAATATATGCTTAAAATTAGTTCATTTACCTTGCAATGTATTTCTCTGTGGATCATAGACTGTTAATTTTTAGTTGGTTTTGAATTATGATTCCCAGAAGTTAAAGAACAATCTTTGATTTTTCTCTCTATTCCTTCAATGCTAAGCGTGTAGTAGGTGCTCAAGAAGTAGTTACTGAACTGAGACGCATTAGGAGGTAGCTATTTTCAATGATCCATAGTGTTTGCTTCCTCCATGATATTTATCCTTATCTGCTCCCAAACTCTACATTTGGAATTTTTAACAGATAAAGAGGTTTAAAAGACAAATGTCAAGAATTATTCAGCCCCTATTATTGCCAAATACTGAGCTAGATGGTTCCTATATTCAGGCTGTTTGATCTTGATAATCCCAGGGGAAGACCCCATTACTGACATATTATACACGAGGCAATTGAGACTCAGGGAATTCACAGAACTTGGCTGAGAACAAATGGCTCATAAAGCACAGAACTGCAGTTACAGCTGGAATGAAATGCCAAGTGAAGAGCTGGTGTCTTCACCACACTGGTTGCCTTCTTTTGTGAAAATAGAGTTCTAACAAAGCACATAGACATTCTAGAAACTCAATCCTCTCTTTCTTCTATGACTCTTGATAGGCTCTAAACATCACCTCAAATCAAACATACTTTTTCATACTTTCACAGCCGCGCCTTTCTCACTGCCTTCTGGTATATCATCACATTTAAAAGCTGCAGTAACTCACGCAGTTGCTCTTTACAGAAGGAACATCCAGTTCCTCAGTTCTCTGTCCTGCCTGTCTGGTGTATCCAAGGTTGTGTCATCACTGGCTCCAGAAGTATGTAAGCGCTGCTACCTGCACGTGCTGGGGGTTTTGCTTCATGCAAGTAAATGTGCCTTTGCCTAGATAGCATTAACCTGCCAGAGGTGCTATCTATGCACCCAAAGGATACAGTGGTTAATAACCCTATATGGTGAAGAATCATCCTTCAACCACCAACAAGTGCTAATGGAATAAAATACTTGAATTCCTGAGAGTTAATTTTGAAAACTTCCCATCTTCCTCTAACTCCAGCACACTAGCACCCAAATACTTGGATGAGCTTTTTTAGGGTAAAATGTAGCCTATTATTTGAAAGTGAGACTGGTGATTTATTTCCCAGTAAGACTTAAAACACACACACACACATGCACATGCACGCACACACAAACCCATCCTAACAGTTGACTAACACATCATGGCTTGTTCTGAGAAAATTGATTAAAGCGTTACACCAGTGATACTTTGTCAAAAAATGGCCCAAATGGTGCAGGTGTGTATCTAGAGAAGAAAACAAGACTTAAAAAATACAACTAGTTCAAGACTGCCTCTCAATTCTCTGTGTTTTAGAGGTAAGGAAGGCAGTGATGGCAAAAGTGTGTCGATGCTCTGTGTCTAACCAATAGGAAAGCCAGTATGTTTTCAACCAACACTTCTGTAGTAATTACTATGTGTCATACCCTATCTAAACAATTTACATTATCAACTAGTTTAACTCTCACAAGAATACTATAAGTGATTACTATTACTATCTCTGCTTAACTGATGGGAAACTAGGCTAGAGAGGTTAAGGAACCCACCTAAGGACAAACAGCTACTAAGTGCTGAGCGGTGATTTAAATTTTATCCACCATGCTATGGCATCCTAATGTATCCTTAATTGAGGCAGAAGATGAAAAGGAACTTGCCAACCTCTATTGGACACAACTTTTACGTAGGTTCATAGAATTTTGGAACTGGATATTATTCAGTCCATCTGGTGTGTAAATAACCTTTGCAACATCCCTCATCCATTGTGCTTGAACATTTCTGACAGTGGGGCATTCACAAGTTGCTTAAGTACTTGAGTTCCTTTCATGGTGGCCTTAGCTGTTAGGAGTTGACATCTATTTCCTTTTAATTTCTGCTCATGGGTTCTTAATTCTTTCCTGGAACCCAAGGAATAAATCCTCTCTATTTCTTCTACATTGTACAGTTTCCTAGGGCTGCTGTGACAAAATACTACAAATTGGTTGTCTTCAAACAAAAATTTGTTGTCCCACAGTTCTGGATACTTGAAATTCAGAATCAAGGTGTGAGCAGGCTATGCTCCCTCTGAAACCTATAAATCACCTTTCCTTGCCTCTCACCAAGCTTCTGGGGGTTTGCTGGGGATCACTGACCCTCCTTGGCTTGCGGCTGTATAACTCCAGCCTCTGCTTTCATAATCACATGATTTTCTCCTGCAACGGTGTCTTCACAGGGCTTTCCTCTTATAAGACCTGTCATATTGGATTGGGGACCCATCCTAAGAAGCCAGCTTAATGCAACTAATTCATCTGCAATAACCCTATTTCCAAATAAGGTCAAATTCTAAAGACAGGTGTTAATATATCAGCATTTTTTTTTTTTGGTGGGGGCAGGGTACACAGTTCAGCCCATAATAGTCTGTCCTCCAGTTCCTAAATATTCATGTCCTTCCCACATGCAAAACACATCACTCCATCCCAGCATCCACCAAATACTTCACCCATGCCAACATCAACTCTGAAACTAAAATCTAAGTATTATCTAAATCAGATATGGGTGAGATTCAGGTATGATGCTTCCTGGGGCAAAATTTCTCTCCAACTGTAGACCAGTGAAACCTGGAACAAAATGCATCTTCTTCTGAATGCAATGGTGGACAGCTGTAGGGTAGTTATTCCCATTCTAAAAGGGAGAAATTGGAACTAACAAGGGGTTCACTGGTATAAAGCAAGTGTGCAAATCAGCAGGACAAATTTCATTAGGTTTTAAGGCCTAAGAATCATTCAGTATGACTTGATGTTCTGTCCCCCTAGCCCAGCAGGGTGGTGGCCCCAATCACTCAACCCTGGGTGATAGCCCTGCCCTCTGGAACCTGCAGGGAGATTTTCTCTTGCCTGTTCCCAGCTTCTCACGATTTGCCAGCGATCTTCAGTGTTCCTTGTCTTGCACCCGCATGACACCAGACTCCCAAGGTGCCCAGCGTCACATGGTGTTCTGTGCCTCTATCTTCACATGACCATCTTCTTAGAAGGAGATCAGTCATATTGGATTAGAGGCCTAACCTACTCCAGGATGACTTCACCTTAATTAATTATATCTACAATAAGCCTATTTCTGAATGAATTTACATTCTAAAGTACTGGTAGTTAGGACATCATCGGGACTTTTTGTGGGGACACAATTCAATCCGTAATAGTGTTCATTCAGTTATTTGAGGACCACAGCTAAGACCATTCCCCCTGCCTTTGCTCACCTTGCCTAAAGTCTCCAGGACCCTCATGTGCAACTGAAAGCTTTTGCATCTCACGTCACCCTTATGCCTTTATTCTGAACACACTCCAGATGATCAGCAATGGCACAAAATGAGCCATCTGTGACTGCGCACACGTTTCCAGGTGCAGTCTAACAAGGGCAGCGAAGAACAGGATGATTACTTTAGTAAATATCTCTCTATTAAGATAGACTAAGGTCTTGTTAGCTCTCTTAACAGCCAGCTCACACGTTTTTTTGTGTCATGTGTAGACAGTTACTAAAAATGTATTCCCTTGTGTAGATGTTAGATTAAATCTTTACCTTTGAATCTTGGGGAGAATAGAAAGGGAAAAAAGAAATCTACAAAACATATTATTGAGACAATTACAGAAATTTGAATTTGGTCTTTATGTTAGATAGTATTGCATTGCCCTTTTAAGATACCTTAAGTACGGTGTTCGCATGATGTACATTCAAGTATTAAACACTATATTTATGTCTTTTTCCCAAGGCTTTGCTTCTTTGGGCTACACATCACCAGACCATTCATATCTAATAGGATATTCCCTTTCATCTCCATGGTCCCTTCATTTTGAAAATGCTGCAAATTACCAGTATATCTCTAAATGAGCTATTCAGAACTGCACATGCATCTTTAGGTGCATAGCTCCTCAATTTGTACTGACCAAGTATTCATTTGTTCAATCTGTTAGCCATTCAGAGTGTTAAAAGTACAAGGTGAACACTACCATCTTTTGATAGCACATCAAAATTATGCAAAGTTAAACCATCTTTTCCTAAACTTTCATCCTAGACTCATACATCTCTCAAGTATAATATCCTTCCTTTCACTGCTTAGTCACCTCGAAACCCTCTAAATATCTCCTGCCTGTATCATCTTCTTTCTATCTCTACTGCAAATACCTGATGTCAGATCGTAGTAACCATTAGCTAGAATATTGCAATAACCTAAGAGTTTAACTTGTACCATGCCTATCTTGACTCCTATCCATTTTATCCATTGATACCACTCACTGCAGTTATTAACAATTTCACTTCAACTGGAGTTCTTTTCTTTTGGATTGAATATAACATCTCAGATGGCCACTCCTCCATTGATCTCTAGTTGAACCTTCCCCTTATATCTTGCAGTGCCACACATAAGATACTCAGCTCCAGGGTAAGTTTGGTATCTCACCGCGCAGC